GTCACTTTGCGCCTGTTATACGAGGGATCCGGGAACTGCTGTTATTAAGAAATCCGGGCCCCTTCTAGCGCCTGCCCGCAATGGCGCGGGCACCACCTTCAGGTACATTCTCCATTTAGGCAACGATAACCACGTGTCTTATACTACTAGTGCAGTGAAGAAATGTGAAAACTATACATTTGTAAATAAATCATATAAAATGTAGTCTATTCAAAGTACGTAATCAATTATCGAGGTACAATTTCACTTATAAAACACATCAATACTTATAATATATTTTTGTTTAATAAGTGAAATTGTACGGAACCCTCGGTGGGCGAGTCCGGCGTGCTCTTGGCCGGATTTGTTGTGGTGTATTTCTTGCACATCAGAGGTTCCTTTATTCATAGTCCATACTCATATTTGCTTTTTTATAAATTTTCAGTATCATATCATTATAACATCTAGTATCAAAAGTTTTAGGGTTTTTGGTCGTTTGGGTAAAAAGTTCCAAGTTCTTACAATTTCTAATACTAGCTTACATACCAAAGTTCAGCTTCCTAGGACTTTAGGAAGTACCCTAAATATTTTACAGTTTTTTAGATATCAATAAAGTCTTAAGTATAAGAGCTATGCAATAATAACCTTATAAGTTGAAGAAGTTCACTATTGGCATCATATCCCGAGAATTTCCTTGCACCGAAAATATTAAAATCATTTGCAAATTCAATTAAATCCATATTTTTGTGACAATTAAAGTAAATTAACTTTAGGGTTTTCGAGGATAGGACTATTACTGATAGAGTACGTTTGCGACATCATGCTCAGTACATAGTAATGTCACTGAGTCCTCGCCACCACCTTCACTTGATTGGGGACTATGCGCCCGTTTTTTCAGCTTGAAATTGACTTGGGCCTGTTCCAAGTTTAATTATATAGCTTATCTGTTATTGGTCAAATAATAACCAATGGGGGGACACCTATAAGCTAAATTACGAGTATGTCATGGTGTGGAGCCAACAGTTGACTGCATGAATGGCGTAGTGGTTTAAGCGGTCGCCACGCCGCTTCCTATTACGCCGAGTGTTGTGGGTTCAAACCCCACATGGGACAACACTTTGTGTGATCCACAAATTGTTGTTCTGAGTCTGGGTGTACTTTGTGTCCGTTCCATTTATGTTTGCAAAGTCCACCGCGACACAGGATTTATTCCTAGTGCGGGAGTTGTCTTATAAAAAAGAAAAAGTTGCACCAATTCTTGCCATATTTTTTTGTCAAACAATGGACTTTGATAGTCTTCTCTTATAACTATTTGTAGATCACACAAACAAACGTGCAGCATGGGCATTGAACCCCAGTACTCGTCGCACTATAGTAGAAGGGCGAGGTAAATTCGTATGTTTGTATATTTGTCCTCTATGCGTTTCTACACTATCTACTAGATTATGATGAAATTTCGGTAGTCTACTAAAAGTGCTTGCACCATCAGTATTTTTTTTTTTTCTGTGCGGAACTCCCCTCGGAGACAACCCGCCAGTGGGATGGTTATATCGAACTCGATCGACTAGAAAGGAAAGCCCTGTTACCCCGATGTACCGTGTATGCGTTCCGTAGCGCGACGCATCGCCTCCAACCCGGTCTGCTTCTGCTATGGAGCGCTTATGGAGGACGGAGGTTGTTGTGCGACCTCCGGTGCCTGATCCGTTTGCGTTTCCTGGCCCGTTCCCGAGCATAACTTGTTCGTAGAAAGAGAGGCGGAGTTCCACGCAATTCATGTTACTGAGCTAGAGAATTCTCACTCCGATGGCCGCCACAAGTTCGCAGCAAGGCGGTGGGGCAAAGGCTTTGCTCGACCCACGCCGGGTATTCTGCCAGCGTGTGGAGCGCCGTTTCCGGCTATCGCAGTGATGACACTCAGGCGTTGGCTCCTTGCGGCGGATCAGACACAGGTGATCTCCGAAGCATCCTTTCTCAGTGATCACCTGCGTCCGCCGGTATAAGAGGGTCCCGTGTTGCGTCTCAAGCCAATCCTAACGGGTCTTACCGCCTTAATAACGCCGTGTCCGGCGCTTGGTTGTCCAAGTTATTCCTTCTACTCCTTTACGAGGCCCTGGCGGAGTTGGGATATCGGGTCTTCGATTTCTAGATTCTCAGGACTCCGACGCAAATTCAATACACTAACCGATTTTTTTTTGTTTCTCGATCAAAAGAATCTACATAAATAATAATAATACAGTTCGTATGTTTTTCCTTTCTAATGAAACTTTTTGCTTTGGTGTGCTATATTTTTCACAATGCAAATAGAAACAATTAAAAATAATAAGATAATTATTACAAATATTAGTTTAACAATTTTTATTAAATAATTATAATTATCATATGTCTTTTATTAATTAGAGACAACTTACTAGTCCATCGATACTGTAATTAATTTAGACGAAGTAATAAATAATACGACGACGACGGAATATGAAGCTATATATACATATATTAAACATTTCTAATAAATTAAAAAAAAACGAAACTTTTGACGACTGTACTAAACGAAATAAAAAATAATAATTAAAGTCGCCACATTTAAAAAGAATTGAGTGACAATTCGGTCCGATGAAAGAGTTGCCTTTAGGCGTTTCGGTCCGCGGGCCGAAACGCCCCTACACCTTATTTCACAAGTCCTTCTAATATTATAAAATAATGTCGACTTTTAAAGCAACCGAGGAAAATGCGCATTTTATTTTTCTTATGCACAGTTTTTTATAAAAGGAAAACTTAGCTTTGCCCAGTTGTTCACAAACTCTACTCTATGTTTACCAGTTGGTACTTTTGGTTCAGGTACCTGTCCCAATAAACACTGGTTTCCAAGGAATTTAATTTCTTACTACAGTTCTTGGCTATGTGATTATCTCAATAATTTGTTCCCTCTATATCTCGAGCCACAAGCGTAGTTTTTATGGCGAGTGCAGTCCGACATCGGTGCGATGTCCAACACAGCTGGAAAATTAGCGGGAGTGCTTTTTTATTACATTTAAACCTGTTTCCTTGCGCTAAAATATTTCGCAGTGTGTTAATTTTTACCATTGTTAATAGTTACGATAGGTAGGTATGTTTTATCAGAGATTCTGTTTCTGGGTAAAATATTTTGATTAATACAATTGTTTAGTATTTTACTTTGAGAAGGGAGAATCAGCAGGATTTTCCTATAGTTGAACCGAATTAAATCACACAAGTGAGCTGAGCGAACCTATGTTTAGAGGTCCAAGTTTTTTCCATTGTCGACTTACGAATTCTTAAAGCATCGCTTTTTTGCCTCATTAATGGTGACCGGCTGTCATCCTTTACGTCTTGATCTGAAATTGAATGATGTTTAGAGCGTATATAAAAAGTTCAGAAAGTGTTTTAACTGAATAATTGCTGAAGACTTCGCTGCATTTGTAAAAAAAGGGAATTAAATTTGTATTTTATGGAAATATACAACATTTATCTAATAACAAAACACTCATGTGTGACCTCATCGACAGTAAGTTCTACAACGCCAATATTATTAATATTTTTAATATCTTAAGTAATTTGTAATATGATATCTTTTCGCTAGTAATAAGTTGAGTGACTATTGGTATGACGACGGCAACGCGACGCGAGGTCGTAAGTTTGTAATAAGAGTTAGTGTCTGTAGGAAACAAGTCACCGGCTCGAGTTGTAAGAAGTTTCGCGTCGTTTGTTTGATTCTTCTATCGTTCTGAACCGATACTTCGACCAGAGGCCAATAAGTGCCACTGATACGAGTACTTTTATCATTTTCTTATAGACTTAGTACAATCAAGTTTCCAACTTGTTCCCAATAATAGAATTTATTGTTTATTAGTCTTAGGCGAAGCTTTTGTTTGATTTTTTTGTTCTTCTTGTTTTATTATATTGCGGTATACTCTGATTTATTACTCAAACTTTATGATTTAGTATAGGACATCGACTAACCTTTATTAGTGCCTTATTTTTTTTCTGTTTTATAGCACTCAGTAGTTGCTGCTGCTAGGGATCTACAACCATCATCATCATCAACAGCCTTTACTAGGCCACTGCTGGACATAGGCCTCTCCTTAGGAAGGAGGTTTTGGCCTACTATACCACGCTGGCCAGACGGGTTGGTATAGGGTTTGTTTCAAGTTTTCCTTCTCTCTGCAATGCCGTTGTCCTGCGTAGTTTGCTTCCTTAGTCGCCTCTTACGACACCCAGGGGATGAATAGGGGTGGTGACACTCTGTATTCTTAATCCGTCACCACACGGACGAGTTAAGAATCGGGATCGGGAACGGGATCTACAAAGTACTTTTATACTTAAAGAAAAAAAACAGTCACAATACCCATTCCGGTTACAAACTTACAGAAGGTTTTTTAAAACTAAACGTTTGTATTCTGTTCTTGTAAACTCACATGTCATGTGTATCATTTCACTGCTATGAAATCGGAGTGAGCGGAGAGTCGTTTTAGAAAATCCTCGATTAGTATTCATCAATCCGCATTTTTAACAACCTATAACACTACTACTGGTAAATCTGGACATAGGACTCCTTAGAAATGAGGTTTTGGCCTACTATACCACGCTGACTAGTTGTAATAGGGTTTCTTTCAAGTTTTCCTTATCTTTGCTGCGCTGTTGTCCTGTGAAGTTTGCTTTCTTGGGCTCTTACGACACCCACTGGATGAATAGGAGTGGCGACACTCCGTTCTCCTAATCCATCACCACAGGACCAGGACCAGCATTGCTTCATTGTTTCATAAAAATATGGTAAAATACATATACGCTGATTGTCCTTACCATTATTTTTCACTGTTGGTCTTAGATTTCTTCTAGAGACTACCACAAAGGACTGTCTTGCACCGTTTTCAGGCAGCAAATGTGCGCAATGCACCATCGCGCAGGTGCACCACCTCGCGGACACAGGAGTAACACGCTTAGACCTTCAGATCACCTCACAGAAAACCAACGTTAAGCAAATCGTTCGTAACTTTTCTTCGAATGAGTGATTACGAGTCGTGGAGTACGAGAGTGGGTAATGAGAGGTCCAATCCTCCCTTTTCTCCCGTATTCTGGCGGGGTACTTGTATCCCTTGAGATACATTTACTAAGGCAATATAACCTGTTTCGATTTCCATTTCATGACCACTCTTCCAATCTGTCTTTCCCAGTACTTTTCTATTAAATTGTGTACCCATTACCACTTTATTATGCTGAGGATGAACTGGTTTGGTTTTTTCTATCCTTATTACATCTATCAGTGAAACATCAAGTGTAACCTTCTTCATGATTATGACACCGTTTTGTTAGGTTAATGATTAATCACTTGATCATCATCATCGATGAACGACCGCAACCTTTCCATGTTAATAGATTGTCTAAGTTAAAGTTAGACCAGTCAAGTAGAATAACATGTCCCACATGGTATATCTGAACAAAACTCATTGTTTCTACAAAACCTATGTTAAATTTCTTCTTGTTTATTTTTGTCTTAACTTATTCTGTACAAAGCAAAGACAAATTTCATAGAATTGGCACTCAGTTTTTTTTACTTGTTTTTGAAATTGCTTGTACTTTGAATATTTTAGCAACAAAGAAAATTGTGAAACATTACCTGCAATATTCTGAAATTACTGAAGTAAATGTCGCCGGTGTAGTGGAACTTGTTAATCTGTTCCTTCATCGCAAGGTGCTATCAATTATATTAATTTGGTTCAGTGAGTATATCTCGAGATCTCACTGCAGTCTGGATGTATCGGAAATATTACTAACACTAAAATATATTATACATAAACAAGTACAGAAGTATAAAGCTTTATTAAACTATGTCAAAGTTTTTATCTATACTAATCCAGGATAAGATTTAAGGGAGCCCTTGTACTTTAAAAGTAGACAGGTGTGCCCTCGTGTACATTTGCGGGGTTATTTTTAATAATGTTGTTCTGATAATATATTTGTAAGCACTATTTTCTGTATCAGTACATTATTATTTTAATTTTGGTTATGATCCACAAAGTATTTCTTAAATGGCTGGCAGCAAATGCATGCGGACTGCCCAAGACCGGGATGGTTGGCGCTCTTTGGGGGAGGCCTTCGTTCAGCAGTGGACGGCAATAGGCTGATTTAATACTAGTAGTTCCTAGTAATTCCTTACTTCCAGTTTTTTCTCTAATATCATCAATCTTATATTAGTCTTTTTGTCGATTTTTTAATAAAAAAAAATCGACAAAGAGACTAATATTATGGTTATAGGTTTGTTGAATAAAAAAAAATGAGGACAAGACTAGACAAGACCCTTGACTTATTTTAAGTTAAATTTGAAGCTCTAGCTATGATTTAATAGCCTTTGCCTGTGACTTTGTTCGCGTGTAAATATTTTTTAATATGCCATGTCCTGTGCCCTCTTTTCTACTCCTGATAAAATTTCAAGATAATTCTGTAACAAAAAAAGAAGAAGAAAGAAAACAAACTTACATTCAAAATTTAAATTTTAAATTTAAATGTTGTAGTTAAGATACATAAGGTTTCAAATAGGCACCGATACTAATTTACCATATTATTAATCCACACCCGATGGAATCTCACCCAGACGTTCGGTTTTATCTCAGATGAAAGCTGAAACTTTGCGCCTGCGTTCTTTCTCTACCACTTAATTGAGAAAACTTTAATTTTACTCAGGAATAATTTAAAAGATTAGTTGGGGTTTAAGCTGTAACTTGTAGCTTTTATTGTTTATTGCACAATGTTATCTCTCATTTAAACAAGTCTTACAAATTCCCTTTGAAAAGATTTAGAGAAAAAAAGCAGGAAATTTATCATTAAGATAATAAAAAATAGTTTTTATTTGGCTAGATTATATAGAAGTTGTAATACTAAATTAGATTTCTTGTAGTTATATTTGCTTAAAGAACAAAAGTGTTTGGAGAAAAGATGGGAGACGTTCTGAGAAAAATCTTAATTCAGTCTCATCTTGACCTGTCCCAAATATACACCTTTTATTTTTTTTCGTGCGGAAATCCCCTCGGATACCACCTGTCGGTGGCATGTCGGACTCGAACCGACTAAAACCGCACGCCGTCTCGGGTACTAATAGCCGGGGAACCAGGTATACCCTAGAAAGGAAGTCCCTGGTGCCCGGGTCATCTACAGACGAGTAGACGACCCCCCCCCCCCCCCCTCCGTGTGGGAACCCCATGTTCCCTGTGCTCCCTGGAAGCGAGCGCGCTTCGCAACGCGCTCGCCGCCATCCCGGCCTGCTTCTGCTAGGGTGACAGATGGCCTCACCTGTCACCCCCAGGCCTGCGCTTATGGAGGACGGAGGTCGTTCTGCGACCTCAGGCGCCTGAGTCGCCTGCGGTACCTGGCCCGTTCCCGGGCCTGGCGGGCCGGGAGAGTCCTAAACCTCTCCCGGTCCCGCTCCGCCGTCTCCTTCGCGAGCATAACTTGCTCGCAGAAGGAGACGGCAGAGTTCCACGCACTCTCGCTCCGCACGATAGCCGCAATCAGGCTCCCAAATATACACCTGCCACACACAGCTTTTTAAGGAGAGGCCTATGTCCAGCAGTGGACTAGTAAAGGCTGTTGATGTGACACACAGCTTTGCAACACCTAAAGGTTTGACTGGAAGAAACTGCCTGAGGCATTAAGTCCGCCTTATGCATTATGTTTGCAGGAGGACTCAATAAATAAACAAATAAACTGGGAGATTTTGCCTTAGGTTGAAACTAGATGGTCATGTGTCAGAAGTCCAAAAATTGTTATTATTCTCTTTATTTACTTTATATACATATTATTTACATTTTTAAACATACACTGTATAAAAAAATATTTAAAAAAATACATATTTAAAAATATATAATATAGTAGACGACCGACATCGGGTACAGGGACCAAGACACCGGTTGTTAGGACTCCAAAGATAGGAACCTCCTCACTACACGAGTCGTGTCAAGGAGGACTGCCTTCTGCATCAGACCCTTGATCCAGCCGTCCAACGTGAGCCTCTTAAGGTGTTGGTTGAGGCTCTTGGCTATCAATCTGTGAGCAGATACGACTATCAGAACAATGATCACTGAATCAATATTCCACATATCGACAATCTCGTGAAATAAATCCAAATATTTTATTTGTTTTTCTTTTTCATTTTTTACGAGAATCTCGTCATGAGGAACGGCGATATCAACAATCATTGCGCACTCTAATCGATCTATCACTACAATATCAGGCTTATTGGCAACAATAGTCCTATCTGTGATAACTATTCACCGTTAGCCAGACGAGAACAACCAGAAATAATAAGCCTGAGTGATTCCCCAGGACGGTGGCATACCCGACAGATGTCAACCGTACCATCTTTCAGGATATATTTCCGGTAGTTATTTGTCATGATAACTTCGTCCATAATCTGTGTCATTCTGTCAAGGGCACATAATTCGGTCTGAGTCCATCAAAGTATACCAAAGGAATACATCAGAATCGGCATGACCCAACCATTGTAGGCTCGCACTTTGTTGCCCCCTGATAAAAGACTTTTAAGTACTTTTTTCAAGCCGCCAAAAAAGCGTTCCTGCAAAGTTTGTTTCATGTCAGATTCTAGTATGCCTAACGACTGTGATATACCCAAATACTTTTAAGTTTTAGTGGCAGACAGAGATCTGAGTTTTGTTGAATCTGAAAGCTCTATTCCTTCAGATTCTACCATCACACCACTAATTACTGATAAGTTCGTCCATAATCGCACAAACAAAACCTTTAGTTTCTCCGAAGAGATTACCATACCGTAGCCAAGACGTAGATGCTTTCAAATCTAAATCGGATCCATTCATGGAGCTCTTTCCCCTTCCATACTTCCCTGCGATCATTAGTACTAAGTACTATAGGTTTGCGCCAATTCTCTTTATCCAAAGCGTGCGGAGTGAATCCGGTATCCACTGCAACTACATTGCAATGCACTCCCACATCAGTATGTCGATAATATTTTCTGAGATTGTATACCTCGCGATTGTGTAGGGTCTTGACATTTAATAGTCCCCCACCCCATAACTTTCGCGGGAAATACAATCTCATAACTGATGAACGTGGGTGGTGCATTCGGAATGCAGTCAGCAGTGTACGGACTCTCCTGTCAAGGGCATCTAATTCGGTCTGAGTCCATCTAAATATACCAAAGGAATACATCAGAACCGGCATGACCCAAAACTTGCTGGCTCGCACCTTATTGCCCCCTTTTTTTTTTTTTTTTTTTTTTCCGTGCGGAAATCCCCTTGGATACCACCTGTCGGTGGCATGTCGGACTCGAACCGACTAAAACCGCACGCCTTCGCCGGGTACTAATAGCCGGGGAACCAGGTATACCCTAGAAAGGAAGTCCCTGGTGCCCCGACATACCTCGGGTCATCTACAGACGAGTAGACGTCCCCCGCCCCGTGTGGGAACCCCATGTTCCCTGTGCTCCCTGGAAGCGAGCGCGCTTCGCAACGCGCTCGCCGCCACCCCGGCCTGCTTCTGCTAGGGTGACAGATGGCCTCACCTGTCACCCCCAGGCCTGCGCTTATGGAGGACGGAGGTCGTTCTGCGACCTCCGGCGCCTGAGTCGCCTGCGCTGCCTGGCCCGTGCCCGGGCCTGGCGGGCCGGGAGAGTTCTAAACCTCTCCCGGTCCCGCTCCGCCGTCTCCTTCGCGAGCATAACTTGCTCGCAGAAGGAGACGGCAGAGTTCCACGCACTCTCGCTCCGCACGATAGCCGCAATCAGGCTATCGAGCGAGAGAACTCCCACTCCGATGGCCGCCACGAGGTCTCGCCTCTGCTCAACCCACGCCGGGCACTCTGCCAGCGTGTGGAGAGCCGTGTCCACGGTCTGGCCATCGCAGTGGTGGCACTCAAGCGTTGGCTCCTTGCGGATCAGACACAGGTGATCTCCGAAACATCCCTTCCCTGATCACCTGCGTCAATCGGTATGAGAGGGTCCCGTGACGCCTCTCGAGCCAATCCTCCATAACGGGTCTTACCCATGGGTGCCCAAACCTTATTGCCCCCTGATAAAAGACTTAAGTATATTTTTCAGGCTGTCAAAGAAGCGTTCCTGCAACGTTGGTTTCATGACAGATTCTGGCATTCCCAAGGACTTTTCTCTTTTCTCTCTTTTTTCTTTTTTTTTTAAAGAATAGATGTTTGAAGTTTATACATAGTTGGCAAGCATGTCTAAAGTTTTTATCCATGACACTCCCAGATTTATAAAGGAAGTGGGTTATATTAGAGGTAAAAAATTGGGGTGATGAACCCGTATCCA